GAGAGAGAGAGAGAGAGAGATAGAGAGAGAGAGAGAGAGAATTTTATGAGTTTCGCAATTATCAACCAGGTCACGTTAATACTGAGTAATTTGAAAAACCTGTGCCCAAAAAATAAATATTTAAAAATATTTATTTAATATATAGCTAAAATATTATGTAATATATTTAAATTTAAATATTGAAGTATTAAAATAATTCTATCTATATTTGTTATGTCAATTCTGGATAAAAATAATATTTTATATGTCATACATGGCTTTAAAACATATGTCCATGATTGTCCAGGAATTTTATGAAATATTTAAATGACAATTCACGATTTTAAAATTTCGAGTTGATCACACTACTGACTATACCAGCCAGTTCCATGTATTACAAATTATTACAAATAGTAATACTTATAGCATTACTAAATGTGAATGCTACCTACTTTTGAAACTCACTGGACTATACTGTCCGATCAGTTCATAACCTGCCAGTGCTCTCAATGTATTGTCAGCGCTGCTGACGAGCTATATATGGACATTGAGTCCATTATTACTTATATCGGTGCTCATGGCATTCAGACTACAAGTGCTGCGGATAAACAAAACTTTGATTTAATTTTATTCATAGCCCGCAAACGGTTGGTCTTCAAAGCTATGTATATTTTCCGCATAAATATTGAAATGTTTTCCACTCTTTTGAACATTTCGTGCACTTATTCTATAATTCTCATAACAAACCGATTAATTCGAGTTGAAGTGAATTAAACTGAATTGAAGTTTTAATTTATTAACTAGTTTTTTGTTTCGCCGATTGAAATGCTTATAAATTGGAATTCATTTAAATTGCGCTCATGTTATAAACACCTCCAGCACTCCACTTAACCCCCATATCAGTCCAATGGGCTATCCCTATATTTTTCTTGGGATAATCTGAGGATTATTTTAAGCATAATTTTATATTATATTGCTAAAAGCATCTAAATACATAAAAGTGTTATAAATATTATGCAGATTTTATAGATAGATTATTATATTAAACGTAGAATGCACAATTTATGAAATTGTATTTTTTCTTTAAATTTCAATAATGATATTTACTTAACATTAAAGTTAATTATTGAATATTTCAGACATAATTCATTGTATTTATAAAAACTTTAATAAGTAATATTAGATTTATAAAGTTTCAAAATTGTATTTCATGATCAAAGTTATAAATCATAATCTATATTAACAAATACACAATTTGCCTGTTCATCTTAATAATCTCTATTTGGTCAGCCTCACTAAAGGCTAACTATTCCCAATTAACCAGGACAAACTAGTTTTAAAAATTACGATTTATATCTTTACAAACGATGGCATCCTTTGTGAAGAGACCATCGATTTCCTTATGATATCTCTTCTCCACATTTCTTCGCTTCAGTTTCATGGCTGCGGTCAACAGATCGTTATCAGGGGTCCACTCATCGGCTACCAGTGCTATGCGCACCGGTATCTCTTTCGTGCTCAACCCGGCCTCCCGTCCCGTTTGTACGACCGCCTCAAACACTCGTCTATTAACCCCTTCATTGCCCACAATATCCTCCATTGAGACCCCACTTAAGCCTAAGTCGTGGCTGAGTTTAAGCACTCGTTTCCGGTTAGGGCTGATGAGGGCCGTCAGGTATGGGGCGTTCACTCGCCAGAAAACGCACGCGTTATCCACGAGTGGGCACGACTTGAGCGCCGCCTCTATTTTACCCAACGATACGTACTCTCCGTTTTGGAGTTTATGTAAATCCTTCTTACGATCGACGATACGTACGGTGCCGTCCGGATACAGTTCCCCGATGTCCCCCGTGTGGAACCACCGCGCGCCCCAGGAGTCCACATGAAACGCCTCCCGGGTCTGATCGGACGACCCATAGTAACCCGTGACAACTGATTGACCGCCGATTACTATCTCTCCTCTAGGGTGGGGTGTGTCCGACGGGTGATACCCGCCCTCATTCCAGTCGGTTAGCCTGAGTTCAACCCCTGATAGGGGTCCGCCTACTCGTCCATACGATAGGTCCCCGGAGTCCATACCTATCGTACATATTTATTATTAGCGATAACATTGTGAAAACTAGTGGATCTTTATGAAAATTAATTTATCGGTTTACAAAGGACTTGCTAGTAAATAAAATGATCCATGTACTGTACTCACATAATACAGCTCCCAGGGTTTCTGTGGCTCCATATGCCTGCGCTAGTATGACGTCCAGTAGTGCCTTAATATGGGACTGAGTGTTGGGGTTGAGTGGAGCGCCACCTGCCATCACAATCTCGAGTCGACCGCCCAATTGCTCCTTAACTTTACGGCACACCACGTGGTTGACAATCGGGCACCGGTAGCCCAGTCGAGTCCACTTAGTTTTATAATCAATTAAATACCCAAATACGTTAACCAAAATCGGGGAACTGGCTTCCAGTTTGTCGCCCACCTCTTTCAATAGCTTATCCAACACCAGGGGAACGGTCGCCATGATAGTAGGCTGTAGTAGCTTAATGTCGCTGACCTGACCCCTGGCCAATCCCGGAGCCGTATCGGTGAGAGTGAATGGCGACGAATAGCCGATTCGGATACCGGTGTAGAAGCAGACAAACTCCTGGGTCAGCTCCAGTATGTGAGCCAATGGTAGAAACGCTACGTACGTGTGACTACGGGTGTCGCCCATCCACGAGCAGCCAGATAGTAGAGCCCGGGCTGACCCCTCCATCATCTGCCGGTGTGTCGCGACCGCGGCCTTTGGGGCGCCGGTAGTGCCCGACGTATACATTATGAGAAACGGGTCGTCGGGTTGTGGTGTCTTGAATGGTGTGTCCGGCGACTGAGCGCCGGTATTCTCGACGTCTCGTAGGGATATGAGACGAATAGTGTCGGGAAAACCGTTGATCTGACTGTCGGTCACCACTTTGGCAGCGTTTTTGTGGTCGATGTATACGACTGTCCGAAGGGTCGGTAGTCTAGCGCTGAGTCGCGCTATATTTGGCATCAAATCGCACGACACGATCGCCAACTGGACTTCCGTTTGGTTTATGCCGTGAACTAAACCCTCGTCCCCTAAGTTGGGGAAAAGTGTCACTAAAGTGGCCCCGAGTTTGGCGACTGCCTGTGCGCTCAGAAACCACTCGACCCTCGTTTCGCACAATATTAACACTTTATCCCCAAATGCCATCCCATTTGCTATCAGTCCTTTGGCCAGTGATGTGGTGGCATTGTCCACCTGTCCGTAAGTCAGCCATTGATAGTCGTCGAGTGTATAGGAGTTGAGGGGCCGGCCATTAATGCGGACCACTTTGCCGTCACTTCCAATAGATTTTGTTACTGATAGGACTTCCCTATAGCCCAGGATAGGTGCATCCCGTCCGTAATAGTTGACCAAAGAATTTAGTGTCTCAGTGACAGTGGGTTTGAACGTAGGGTGGGTCAGGTGCTGCTGGTGAGAGACCCGGGTGTTTGTGTCGTTCCCTGGATTCTTCAGTTTTGATCGACTTTTGTTTGATTCAATGATTCGTTTCCATGGTTTTTGGTATAAGTAATAAAACGGAAGAGATGTATAGGTGTAGAGGTTGACCACCAATCGCACCGGTAGCATAAATATGGCATACATTATCATCATCTATAGATAACAGTATAAAATAATAATATATTAATAAAAAGTTAAAAATAGACCAAGCCTATTCATAAGTGTAGATGTTTAGAAAGGAGCAATGTTATTAAGATACAAACATACACTATAAAAATTATAGTCAGATACCAGAATTACCTTGTTATAGATAATAGATTTGCAATTAAATTAATTTGATTACTTTGTATCTAAAATAAAATAAATGTTTGAAATGAGAAAATATTATATAAATTATTATATACTTCTAATATCTTAGAATCATTAATAGTCTTTCATATATTACAATCACTCATTTGATTTCCCCTGGTATATAAGCTTATCTTACAATACTTTAATAATTATGATAATGTATTACGGTAAACATTTTCTATATAAATCGTTTTTATTATTAATGGTAATTTTAGAAAGTATATATAAAGTAAGTATATAAAGTATTTATAATAAATATAATAAACAATTTTATAATAGTTTAACACCAAAAATTTGATTTTAACCATGATTAATAACTTTGATACTAACTTATAAATGATAAGTTTATACTTACATTGACTTCATAAAGGGGAACGTCTATAGCATTATCATAGGAGTTCTCATAGGGAGACATTATATAGAAAAGCGATAAAAAGTCTTTAATCAGTCGTATAGTTGTGTCCTTAAAACAGTGACCCATTGTAGCCATTGTTACATTTGTCTGGATTATTGTATTCATAATTACATCAGGCAAGTTTACTGATTAGTTTTTATAATTATAGCTAGCTTGAGTTTATGAGATAGAAATAGTTTTATATAAAATATATTTTATTAAATACTTTCGTTAAATATATTTGTATTGTTTAATATAGCATATGATTAATAAATATTAACTTTAAATGTGAAATAACTTTCCAGGTATTCATAGTCGGGCTATAAAATGTTGCAACAAATACCTGTCCCATTTAACCTTCACTGTTATCAATGAAGTGTCAATACACTTTTTAATAATCTAGTTTAATCGTTACTTTAGTACTAGTAATGCAATTAAAGTACATATTTTATATTAAAAAGTACTGAATTGTGTATAATAATAATTAATTTACATAATGCATTACAAGGACAAAAACCTTTAATTAGAAAGTTATTTATTTGTATCAAAAGAGGTTTAGAAGTAGTATTAATTTTAATGATTCTAATAAAACTTTTAAAATAATTTATCTCAAATAACCTTTTGAGAAATATATTTAAGATAACTAAATATTTCGCTGTATGTTTGAATTAATTTGTGTGTGTGAGAGAGAGAGAGAGAGAAAGAGAGAGAGAGAGAAAGAGAGAGAGAGAGAGAGAGAGAAATTTATTTTATGAGTTTCGCAATTATCAAGCAAGTCACGTTAATACTGATTCGTGAGTACTTTTTATTTAGTTGAAAAACCTGTGCCCAAGAAATGTGATTTAATATAAGTAAAGGTTAGACATGAAATAAAAATAATTTTGTTAATAAGTATTTAAAGGGCAAATGTTATTTTAAACTAGTTGCACTCGGTGATAATTAGTAAATATAAAATTTTTTATATATAGTATTATATTCAATTATTAATAGTTAGGGAGCCGGTAACCGGGTAAGCATATTAGTCTATTTAATATTATATCAGTATAAGTTGCACAATAAATTTTTAAACTATCTTATAGTTGCTAAAGGAAAATTTAAAATATATTAAATTCTATAGAGGTATAGACTATATTATTTAATATAATAGTGTATATAATAATAAATGAATAAATAAATAAAGTTTATTATTTGTGTCATAAATATGAGTGAAACGAGTGCTGAATATGCAGTTGTGGTGCAAAATGTTTGCTTCAGTTATGGGTCAACACATCCGGTGTTAACACAACTCACGACTCGAATACCAAAAGGTTTTCATTCATTGTTTCATTAGTTTTGCAATCATTTCAACATTTATTCACTTTTAGGACAAATCTATGCGTTGTTGGGCTCTAACGGCTCGGGAAAGACTACTCTATTGAAGATAATATGCGGTCGACTCACACCCCGATCCGGTCGGGTAGAGGTGTTTGGATGTAAACCGGGACCCAATCACCCGGACATTCCCGGACCGGGAGTCGGATATATGCCTCAAGAGATGGCTCTCTTTGAAAACTTTTCAATCAAACAAATCCTCATTCCGGTCGGGTAGAGGTGTTTGGATGTAAACCGGGACCCAATCACCCGGACATTCCCGGACCGGGAGTCGGATATATGCCTCAAGAGATGGCTCTCTTTGAAAACTTTTCAATCAAACAAATCCTCACATATTATGCAATGATTTACGGCATGAGTGGCGACGCGATGGACAGTCGTATAAAAGAGTTATCCGTTTTATTACGATTACCACAAATGGATAGACGGGTCGACCGTCTAAGTGGTGGCGAACGACGTCTGGTCTCTCTGTCCGCAGCACTCATTCACTCACCGAAGCTCTTAATACTGGATGAGCCGACTGTAGGGGTCGACCCCCTTATAAGGCACCAGATATGGGGCTATTTGGAGGACCAATGCCTCAAAAATGGTTGTCCACTACTTTACTGTTAATATTATTTTAACACTAATCCCCGTATTTGTATGAATAGACACAACAGTCATAATAAGCACTCATTATATGTCTGAAGCGATAAACGCCGGAACCGTATGTTTCATATCCAACGGCCAATCTGTAGCCTACGGATTACCACAAGAGCTACTTTTAGACTACCGGTGCCACACATTAGACGAAGTCTACTACAAATCACACCAAGAAATACAAATAAAAAATTCAAATGATAAAGTAGCAAGTGAAATTTGCAATGAAATACTCTATAACAGCAACAAATCGGATACATATCGGAAATCATTTGATGGGAACCGTATGAAAGCACTGGTATTTAGACAGACAGTTGACTTGAAAACTAAACTACTCGTGTACTTAATATACACTTTATTGCCTACTGTTGTCGTTTACTTAGTGCTAATAGTTTACGGAGAAATAGATAACATCCCCATAGCTATCGTGCACCGGGAGTCCAATGGGACGGCAATCCTGTTCCACCAATTCGTAGACCTATTGGACAGTCGGTTGTTCGCCAAACGCCTGTACGACACAAACTCAACGGCATACGAGTCGGTAGTGTTGGGCCAAAACATACTGTCCATTGTATTGGACGAAGAGTTTAGCGATAATTTGCATCAATTTATATCACAACCACATGATTTTGATACGAATAGTACCTTGATAAAACTATATATCGACGCTACTGACCCTGTTAAAAGGTGCATTGCTGAAATTAGCATATTAAACGCATATTTACTACTTGCTCAAAATTATAGCCAATTAATTGGTTATAATTCACACGTTTTCACCTTGCCCATTCGAACCACCCTGTACAATTATAACGACAATATATCATCGGCACTATTTTCTAAGTTTATGATCCCGGGCAATCTGATTTCTGTCAGTCAACTCACCACGCTTATATTTAGCACGTCGTACATGTTCAACTTGGTATACGAGCGCCTATACGGTCACTTAGATAGGGCAATTATAGCCGGCATATCACCAAGGGAAACTGTGTTTGTGAAAGGCATCGTTGCATTTATTGCAATCGTTACGCAATCGGTCATTGTGATCCCGGTGACCTTATATTTTAATGATTATCCATTTGATTTTCGTTGTATCGATATGCTACTATTATTGGTACTAAATGGGCTACTGTATATGAGCATGGGCATTACAATAGGACTAACTGTACGATCTAGTTTCATCGGTGTGGTATGTACTATTTACCATGTAGCATGCTCTATTTTGTTTAACTTGGCTATCTATTGGGTTTTCCAAAATGTTTTGCGAGGTATGATTTATTCAGCAATTGATAGAGATATTGAGAATATTTTTGAACCTCAACTATGGTTTTTGCTCTTGTGTATTCACCCGAAGAGATTACTGGATTAGAGCACTGGTAGTTTGGGACAGGTAGCTTTTATGTACAGCAAAAACTATAAGTCCTAGAAAGACAATCAGCACAACGTTAGAAAGAGTATAAAAAATGATTGACCCCGTCTTTCGGGATTTCTCTTGTAAATGCTTCAATTAGGGACAGGGAG